AGCTTAAAAATAAGGTTAAACTATTTTGTTTAGTTGGTCAAGGTCTGCGACCTGATTTCCATAGGTGGGAATACCCACACAAAGTCACATTGGCGCACAGGCAGGCACGTACTCCCTGGTGGAAAACCGGGAAAAGTCGTCTTCTTAATCTTAATTGCGGCACATTAGCACAATAAACCAAACGAATGGCCAGACATTATCATAAATAATAAGGCAGCTTGGCATGGCTCAATGCGCGGCAGGACATCCGACCAACGTCCTTCCTCCTTCTCTGTGGGCGGTGGAGAATGTCGTATCCCTCCTAGGATGGTGGTCAGATGTTGATTTTTGGTACAGTGCTAAAATATGAATAGTGTAATATGGCAATATTGTCGAAATGATGTGGCCACGCCCCGGCGGAAATGAGATTCAGGAAGTCACCCACACACACAACTGCCATTAATCGATGCTAATGCATTTTTGCATGTCCCCGGCTCCTTCGAGAAACCTTAGCCTTATTAGGTATTAATTCATAGTTTCGCTTGCAATCAGTTTGGTTAATAATTCAGGTCAGGGGGAACCCATTACAATAACATTCCAATCGAAACGGTCCGTTGCGTTTAATTGATGCAGGACATTTCCGCCCGTTGCGCGGGAGGATTTTAGGGGAATAGTGGGCGTTTCGCACAGATGCGATTTTATTGGATTTACTTTTGATTTATGAGCTCGCTCGGGAAAATCTTTAATTGATCTGTGAATTAGCCAAGCATTGTAACAGTTGACGAAGCGTAAAAAAACAGCATGCAATTATTTACCACTAAAGGGAGCGAAAACCTCAAAACAAAATTGCAATTACCGCACTGAGAGCAAAGCAAATAAACAGATAAATACAGGGACAGACGGGTCCTGCACACAAAACATCTACAAATGACAATTCTAAGCATATAAATTATTGCCTTTTAACACCTTTCACCCCACAAGCAAATGTTATTTTTGCTCCTGACGGGGTGGGTTTTTCCGGCTTGGCCCGCCCCCCTTTTCCATTTGCCATAAAGAAGTCAGGGTTGCAACATGAAAAACTATTAGCACTTTTAACGTTTAAGCGGATTAAGTGCTGCAGGAGCAGGCTCAACGAAGGACATTTGAGTGCGAATAGTACCAGACTCTCGTTGTCCTTGTCGATGTGGCTGATGCTCCTGCTGCTCCTGCTGCTGTTGCATGTCGCATGTGGTCGAGGCTTATGCCAGAAAGTGTCAAACAAAAACTTTCAATAGCCTCCACACCCTTTTGGCCAGGCTCTTTCCCAATTCAACTAATTTGCCAGCACACAAACAACAACAAACACCAGCTGCTGAAGAACGAAACCAAAAAAAAAAAAACGAAAAAACAGCAAAAGTAACCACAGCAAAGCAAATAAACAATGCAAAAAAAAGGGAGAAGGGAAATGGGAAATGTGAAAATATGTGCGAGTGTCGGTGGAAGGCCGAGGGCGGCGTCTGCGGCGGCTGTTTACATTGCAAAAAGCATTGAAGTGCAGTGAAAACAACACACCGCACAACGGCTACACTCTGCCAAAAAGCACTCGTCGATCTATTAAATCACAGTAAAATTAAATTATGACCAAAAAGAGGTCTCTTAATTATATATTAAAGCAACAATGTGCGAAGTTTATTAATTAACAACATATTCAGCTGTCATTTAAGATTTCAAAACAAAGACTTTAAAAATCTTTATTTTTAAATCTTAAAGAACTTTGGACAAATAGAGGCCACAGTTTGTTATTGGTTATTGTTATTGGTTATAAAATGAAGCAAATCTTAAGCATACGAATTTTTAATATACTAAGTTCTTTAAGCCAATACTAAAATTAAACTTGAATTTTTCCAGAAACATCGATTACTTTTAAGGAGTCTTAATCGTTACTCACCACTTTTCTACCTAACATAATTTCTCAGGATCAATCTACGAATTATCCAATCTTTTAGTAATTATTTCGGAGAGTGCAGGAGTTACCTCAGGGCCTTGAACAGATTGGCCATCGGTGGCATCATTGCCTGTACGCATATCCTGGCGGAACTTCGTCGAGGCATGCTTAATGCTATCAACACCATTACCGGTTGAGTGAGCGGCCCTCGAGCTTCAGCACCACCGATGCCACACTGCCAACACAACAGCACCACCAACCACCCACTGCCCACCCAGACATCGGTGGTCCGTTGTTGTCAATTCAATTCAATTGTTTTGCCTTTTTGCGCAAATGTCCTGCAATCACGGCGCGGCCTATTTGCCAGCCGCTTGTTTATTTGTTTGTTTGTTTGTTTGTAGGTCCGCCAGTGCAAGTGCCTCACTGCCCAGGCATTCCCATTCCCACTCCCACTCCCAACACCATCCCCCCATACCCGAACTCCCTCAACTGTTGCCAGTTTGTTACGCACCCGCATTGTGACTTCCTGGCGACGGCAGAGTAAATCGAATCCGCATCGTAATCCGCTTGGGCAGCTGAGAGTACGGTTACCCACTCCCTGTATTGCACAACCAATGCCGCACTCAGGTGACCAATCTTAATGATCAATATTAAATTTTCGTCAAAACCTGAGTCGAATCGCGTTACTGCGACTAATTGAGGAATGTTGCAATTACTTATAGGATGCAAAAATGGGTGGAGCTACAGCAGCTGTTCGATAAATCCTAATTCTGTCTTTAAATCAATAGATTTGAGAAAAGTTACAAAGTTATAACATGTTATCCAAAATTGTAATTAAAATAAATTAAAGTATTTTATATCTCAATATAATATGGAGATAAAAGCTTGTGAAGTATTTATGACTTTGTTTTCACTTTCATGTAAATAAATCAGAGCTGTTTGCTACATTTGCAAATACCGTGATTAATTTTTAATCGGCTTACTCATAAACTTATTAAAGAAACTTGGACATAAATGAAGTACAAAAGCTTTTACAACTAAATGAAGGACTTATGACTAATCACAAATGACAAGGAGCGGAAAACAAAAGATTAAGTAAGTAATTAAAACGTTTCAATCGAATTTAATCGATTGTGAGTGAAATCAATATTTTCCTATGCGGAACTGACTTGTAAAACAATTGTTTCTTTCTTAATTTAATGAGGGATTTTAAAGTGCCCGAAGGACAAAAGCTTTATATAGAAAATGCGTATAAACTCATCTCATTTCACGCTGACCTCCCCAACTTGTTTCACTAGACACGGGCTAGATTGCGTAATCGTTTTTTCATCCGCGAGGACCCCAGAGAGTTGGTTCATACCTGTACCGCCCAACCCACCTGTTTACCGCCCACCGCCCACGGCATGCTGTGTTTGATGCTCGCATTTTGCGAAAACAAATTTATTTTCAAGCGCGGCCAATAAATTGAAACTGACTGACCCAACGTCGCCTGTTGACCGTTGACTCGCCAGTTGTTTCTATTTCCATTTTTCCCGGAAAATGGTCGTGGAGGAGGATTATGTCTTTATGTGAATATTTTTGAATTTTATAACCGCTGCGCTGCTGACAGCTTGTCGGTGGGAGGAGGTGGGTGGTGGGAGGTTGGATGCGATTCGGAAAGAACGACAGATTCCTGTTTTTCACTTTTCAGCCAGATTCTGGCCATTACTTCTAATGAAGTCAAAAGCCCCGTTGCTACAAGAGCGGAAACTGAAACAAAAACTGAAATAACAGAAAAGACAAAAGGCCAAAAGCGCGGTGGGGTAAAATGTTTGAAAATATTCAAATTAATTTCAGGACGTCTCTCTCGCCGGCTGTTGTAAGTTCCTTCTGGCCAGGTTGTTGTCGCCATATTTTGCGTGTCCGCCACAGTCACCGTTTTTAATCCTGACTTATGGACTTCCATATTCGGTTTCGTCATCAGCGTAATGCCCATGCAGTCGGGCGGGTTTCCTTTTGTTTTCCGCGGGACAAACTGCTGACTCGCTTTTTGCGGCTGTCCGGATGACCCGTGGGTGGTTGTTGACGCCAATGTTTATGTTGATGTTGCTCCTGGTGTTTAGTTTTAATTACACGCGAGCCTGCTTCGGTAGTCACGCCTCGATAACTTGATTTTCTAGCCCTTCCTCATGTGAAAAGTGACAGCGTTCCACCTGGGGACTCGCCACGTAACTTTCACTCACCGAAAATTAGCAGGACATGGCGCAATTTGTCTTCCAGTTCGAAATGTTGCGGGGACAACGCGAATGTTGCCAACACATTTCCAGTGTGGAAAATCTCCCTTCGTTTCGGAGAGAATTTCGGAACGGCATTCGGGGCGAAAGCATGGTAGGGGTAGATTTTCACGTCTCTCTATTTCCAGAGAGCGACCAGTGAACTCAAAGAGATCCGAGCGACAGGTGAAAGTCACAATGTTTCGTGAAAACTTTACATGATCAAAGGATTATTCGTGATATAGAGTGATTGAAGATAGATGCTCAATAACTCAATTCGATAAATATAAAGTTACTAATTCAACTGGGCGTATTTAATTATAATTAGTTGGTAATTAGTTACGTTACATTAATTTTAAGGGACAGTATATTGCAAATTGCCATTTCTGAGTTCAGCTATATTTATATTTCGAATAAGAAGTTTATCTTGATCGATAGCTTAATTAAGTAATTAATTAAGTATATCAACGTAGTTCGATAAAAAAATGTTATGATTGTATTATTATCATCCTTGTATTGGCAAAGTTAATAAATATAAACAATTACAATTTCCCGATTTAAACTCTTGTAAACAACGCACTTAATTATTTTTTATGGCAAAAGCAAACTCTAGACTGTTGGTAATTCCGAATTCGCCGTGGCACAGTTGTCTAGCGGCGAACTGTGAGAGAGCCAGGACTGACTCGCACTTGCTCTCGCTCTAAGCGACCTCTCTCCGCCGCTCGTGTGCCCTCGTGGGCGTAACCGAACTCTGCCGAAGTGCCCCGAAGCGGTGAACCGAAGCCGAGTGCAGGGTGCTGAGAAACGACGGCGGGCAGCCAACTTGTTTCAGTTGAAAGTGAACCCTTCGACGCAGTTGACACGATTCGCGCGCGACTCGTTTTTGGTGTGCCATTCAGCAGGAGCAGAAATCCTGAAGCTGAGGCTAAAACACAACCAGGACATAAGCTGTGCGAGCAAAAAGGATTCTAACTGCAGGATTATGGTCATTTGTGCGGTGTGCTAACCTAAAACCAAGCAGTTCTCAGACTGCAACTAACTGAAAAGAGTAAAACACAAGTGGATAAACTAACGAGAATAAAAAGTGAAAACTTTAAGGATAATAAACTTGAAACGATCGCTCGTCACGTGAGTTCCAGTGGTGCAGGCCCAGGTAATAATTTGCAGCATATTAGTGAATTCTTGTGGGAGCCGTTCGTACTGAAATATTCAAATTGGCAGCGAATGTCGCTAAGAATATAAACGTGTACGTGCTGCAAGGAGCCGACTTGTGCCAGTGTTTACATTTTGGATTTTATGCGATAATACTCAACGCCATCAACAGCAGAAGCTGGTGGCTTGATGGGTGGGTTGGTGGGTGGATTGGGTGGCTTTGTGGCTCCTATTCTCCCGCCAGCTGCCAAATAAATACAGCAACAATAACAGGGCGGGCAATAAAAAGCCACCGCCAAGGGCTCAACCACACAACGGTCTTAGCCAAGAAGAGAGTCTGCGAAAGTAAGCAAAGTAACAAAACCAATTTTCATTGTTTTGCGGTGGCTTCCAAGTCGCACTTTTCCGCGGTAATATAGTGGAATGGGGTTGTGGAGTTGCCTTAAGAAACCAAAAAGTATAACAAAATTTCCTTCAACACACACACAAACACTTACCCACTGGGCAAAAAGCAAAAATAAAAATGTGCAAATGCCGACATGAAGTGAAGTAGAACTTGGCATGTGGCGTCCTTAGTTGTGTGTATGTGTGGGTGGGGCAGAATGTTTGTAAAAATGAGAAATGAAATAAACACATGCAATGGCGAAAGCGAAGGAACGAGAGAGCTACGTAAAAATCCGCTAAAAATTTAAATACTTGAGAGTGTTTTGCCGAAAAAGCATTTCATTCGACTTCTCATTTGGGCAAAAGTTTTTCGCCCTTGGAAGAGGTAAATACCCAGAAGCTGTGTAAATTAGGATTCAGGCAGACTTAATCCTGAAAAGCAGGCTATAATAGGGATATAATACCAGGCTCCATTTTCGGTGGAGTGGGTCCTGAATTCTTTGCGGCATAAATAAGTCGTTTGCAGCTGTTCGTCGGCATTTATTGGCTGCCTGTTCAGGCCAGCACAATTGTTTTTGGCATACGCCTGCAAGTATTCCGCAGACTCGACGTGTACACCAATTTCGTATGCTAAAATTGTTGGTAGCGGGTGCGGTGGAGGCGGAATCCTAACCACACATACTTTGGCAGCCAAAAAGGGGCGAAGACACGCGCTAGCTGCCATTTAATGCAATTGATTTGTGTTACCTAATTCGGTTAGAGAGCTTGTACAATTTCAATGTGGGGGCGATTCAGAACACTGAGAAAACCATAAATATCGTACTACGTTTATGTTATCTCACTTGTTTATAGCTACTTTTCATTGTAATAAAAACTTTTCTTGTGTAAATAAAAAATTAGTAATATAAGTAAGATGTTTTTAATTTAATTGTTTATTCTTTAAAAATATATTAATTCGTTAGGTAATACCACTCTTACAAAAAATAATTACAAAACGTTTAGCAACACAGTTGGTTTGCTCTTGCCTTCTGAAAAATAATAATTGGGCTTAATTTAGTTATTGATTGCAAATATTTTGTAAAAAATAAGAGTAGTTATTTCAAAAATATGTTTTACTGGTTAAACCTTATCCAGTATTTATAGCTTAGTTTTATTGATTATTAACTTTAGAAACCCATTCAATAGATTTTAATAAACCACACATTTTTTGGTACCTATATTTTCATTATTCTGCTTCTTGGGTCCATTTAATAGATGATTTAAAACTTGTATGAAATCTACTTTTTGATTATCAACGTAATCCGATTATAATTTGTTCCTGTGCAGCAGACATCATACTTGGAAGACAAGACAGCCTATCAAGCAATTTGCCCCGAAATTGCCAGTTTTAATTCCATTATGGGAGTTGGGGCAAGGCCACTTTCCTTCGCTCACACTTGCATGGATGCCTCCTTTTGTTTCAGGTCCTTTTGCTGGCGGATTTCGGCTGGTGCCGCCACACACACGCACGCCCCAAAAGTTGATTGATATTCAATTGGTAGGCTTTCCTGGTGCTTCCCGCTTCCACCTCTTCACTTTTCCTCCTTTGTTCGCCGCTTGTGGTTTGGATTTGCTGTTACACGATACGCTTTAATCTGCTCAGCAGCCCAAGCGGCCAAACTGCCAGGGCAATAGGAAAATCGGCGAACATATTGCCGGATTGGCTTCGAACGGTCGGTCACGCCACAAGTTGTTGGCCCATTCTCCTTCACGAGCTTTCCTTTCTCCGGCCTTAAGCGCTTTAAGTAATTTATAAACGCCTTTCGACCAGCCGAAACAAAAGCAATAACAACTTTATTGGATTTGCTTCTCTGCCATGCACTTTGGTCCGTCTTACGAGCGTTCTCAGCATTGTCTTGCCTTCGGCAGAAGTTGCGTTTTCTTATAGTTTAGTTTTTCCCTTTGGTTTTTCTGTGTTTTGTGTTAATTGAATGCGATTAGGCGGCCAGAAGAACGTTTTGCTGAGTGGTTGGTGATGGTCTTTGGTCGTGGGTCGCCAATTGCTAAAGATAAAATGTAGCTTAGCTGGCTAACGAGCTCCCAGTCGTTGTCAAGGTGACAACGCGCCGCCACCCAAACCACCCAATGGGGGTCGCTATTCATTGGAAATTCAATGCGGTCGCCATATCATTTACGACATCGCCCATTAAACGCTGGGAAGCGGGGCCTACAAAGATTCCGTGACCACATTTTTAACATTTTAATTATGGCGGGGCGTAACGCGATATCTGAGTGTACTCATATTCCGCAGGCTGTCAAGATAAAGAAGCAAAAAAATCAATAGCAATTTCGATGCGTACACTAAACACGACAAAGATAGCGAGCTTCAAGAGCCGCTTCGAAGAATATTCGAATTTCTGATGGCATCGCTGTTGCCAACATCCTACCTCAATTCACTCGGCGTTGCGGTCGAAGAGCACTTTGCACAGTTTTTCCTGCCAATTTGCTCAATTTGTATTTCAAATCATGCCGGCAATTTAAATGCCTCGAGAACGTCTCGAAGTCCCGAAAGGCGGGGATATATATTCGTACAACACTCCCCCACGTCGAAGATGCCCTACGAAACTATGCCACAGTTTTTGCGTCTTCTTTCTGTTTTTTATTTTTTCGGGAGGCTTTCAAAGTGATATATATTACAAAGACGTGGTTTAAGTTCAGCACAAAGTGGCAGGAATTTCATGAATTTCATTTGAATTCGTAATTGGTTTTCCTTTTGCCGCATCGGAATCGTGAAGAACCTGCTGCCTTGGCATCGCTATTTTCAGCCATTTTATTTATTTAAATTTCTGCCGCTTCCTGTTTTTTATCTGCCTAACTCCAAGTTCGCTTAGAAATTTTGTAGGCCAGCCTCTGCTCAATATTCTTGGCCAATTTAACTAACTCCAAGTTCATAGTTCGTTCGCTGGCGTAGAAATCAAGCCACACGGAAAGAAAAATAATTAGTTTTTATTTGGAAAAAGCTAAAATTTTTAATAGTATAGTTTTCTGACTTAAAATCAACCTTTCATTCATGTTTTATCTCTTATGAGTAATATTTTCAAGCTTAATTATAGGTTATTATTATATTTTATTATAAAGATTATTTGCCAAATGGCCAATATATATTGTAAACCAGATAAAGTGATAAGTAAAAGCTTGCAACCTATAAAAACTGTACACATTTATGTACATCTTAAATCTTCGTATATTTTTAACGTTAAATTTAAATCTGTTCTGTTTTAACGGTTTTCATATTTTTTGGCTGTGCATATCTTGGACTGCCTCAACTTGCGACTGGTAATTCCGATTGCCGTAGCGAAAAGATACAAAATTCGCCGACAAAAAGTCGGCTTGGCCTGTTCCTCACGTTTTTCGCTAGCGCTGCATTATGTTGTTTCATTTTCGAAGGCGGCGCACGCCCCATCGTTGTAGTTGTTGCAAAGTTTTTAATTAAATTTTATGTTGACTTTTGTGTGTCTGTCCCGCTCCGCTCAGCTCGGCTCAGCTCGAATCCGTAGGTTCGTGCGCCTCGTTTCCGTAATGTATGCCGCCTCTTGCTCCAGTTTACACACATTCTGCGCCCTGGATGCGCCTCCACCAGTCCCCTAGTCCTCCAACCCCCAGCCCCTGCCACGCCCACTTCGCTCCGGCTGCCGAGCCTCGACTGTCATTATTGCAATCTTTGTGAATGTTCAACGACTTTACACAAAATATTTAGTAGCCTGGCAGAAATTTGTGTACCAAAATATTTGCGTACAAATTTGTTTATTGAAAACAGCAGCTTCTAGGCGGACGTCGATGACTCTCGGTTGCTCGGATGCCTGAAATGTTTGTCCAAGCTCCGGGTTTTCGAAGGCGGATTAAGTTTCGTCTCAAACTTTTCCTCAATTTGGGGATCCATTAAAAAGTTCCCGTTCACAGAGACAAGACTGTGATTGCCTGAATTCTCCGCCGATAACTTTCATTAATTTTCCTTTAGAGCTTTACTCGCGAAATGCATGGCACACATTAAAATTGTAATTGTCTGCATTAATAATGGCTTACGAGTGCTGCGCAAAAAATTGGGAACATGATCTTGATAGAGCGGAACGTTAATGAAACCAGGAGGAGACTACGGCAAGTTAATGTGACTTTTGGTGAATATTCAAGCGAACCGAAAAAACGGAATTACTTGGACCCTCCAGCTACGTTGGCAGCCATTTTCACGCCCAATTTCAAGCAATTTTTCATTGCCATAGCCAAGGTTTTCACTAATTACTCGGAGCGCTGCTCCCCTCTGGTAAAACTTTGCTTGTAATTTAACAAATCATTGCAAGGGTTACACATTTCACTCAGTTTGGTTCTGCCAGCTGGAAAACCTGGGGGGAAAGTCCCTCGGAAGTATCCTTTTTGGCTGCGCAAAAGGGTCCTTTCTTTGGCATTTCTTGCCCGGCTTTTCAGTTTTTTCCCGCTGTTTGCATTTCTAAATGTGCAAATAAATGTATTCAAAATGTGTGCCATTGCTTCTTGGTGTTTATTTTCGCTCTCATTTCTGTTGCATACTTCTCAGCGCCCTGAATTACCTTTCTACTCTTCCATTTATTTTCCTTTGTTTAAGGC